AGTACAAGGGGTACTCCTACCCGTGTACAAAAGAGGCAGACACTGAGCATCCACTGACTTCGGCTAACCAAAAACAGTACCAGCATAATAAAATGACCAAAGTCAAATAGCTGCTCAGTGATACATGCCAGGAACCCACATCAAATTAAAACATGCTATTGTAAACTTCGTTTGGCCTTAAGGCTTAACAACGGTTCAAGCATCCATTCATAGAAATTAAAGGAGTAACCCGTTGTCCTGCTCTTAATCCAACTAAAGGCTCTAAGTTGCACTAACTCAAAAATTCTTTCCTCTTCGCATACTTGGTTTTTGAAGATTTTTCTATTTCTAGCCAACCAAAGAGACCATAAGGTGGAGAACCATACCACATCCCATCCAGCTTGAACTGATGAGTCTTTTATGGGAAGCCTGTGCTGCTCGAAGTCCTCTTGGCATGTCTTTGGGTGAGCCGTGAGAAACCTCCACCATTTTGCACATTTGCTTCTTACAGAGTGAGCCACTCTACAATGAATAAACAAATGATTTTTATCTTCAATGTCATCACCACACAAACCGCACATCAGGTTATTGTCATGTACAATTCCCCTCTGGTACAGGTTGAGCTTTGTGGGTATTCTATTCTGCATGACTTGCCAACCAAATGCACTGATTTTTGTGGGGATGAGTTTGCTCCATGTCCTTTTATGCATCTGAGTTCTGCTGTTGTCGTTGTTATTGGATAGAAGACCGTAAGCTGTTTTGACTGAGCTTTGTGGGTATTCTGTTCTGCTGTTGTCCTTTTATACTCGAGTATTCTCCTTCTTTGTTGTGTTTCCACTCCCAGTGGTCTGTTTGGTATTTGAGAGATTCTCTTTTCTTTATCTGTGGAAGCAAGGTATAGTCTTGGAAATCTGTTGGCAAGGGATTGATCTCCTATCCACACATCCTTCCAAAAGTTGACAGACTGCCCGTCTCCAAGCTTCAATTTAAAGCCCCCTGATAGCCATCCTCTGCTGTTTGGATCCATATCGTCAATCCTACATAAGTTTCTCCACCATAGAGATCCCCTTTGGTCATCCACCTTCACCCAATCAGTCCATCTACCCTCCAAACAACCATACTTGTGATTTAGTTATTTGTAATTTGAGGTAAGTACATATAAAGACTTGGGATTTTAAAATGTACATATAATATATTTGTGGTGTTGGGTATGTGTATATAAAAACTTAAGATATCAAAATTTGCACATAAATCTCTGAAATTTGCAATTGATGCAAATAATCACTTAACATTTCCTTAAAATCCCTAACTTAAAAGAATGAAAAAAAGAAAAAGAAAAATAAGGGTATTTAAGACAATTTCATGTAACTCCAAGTGGTTATGTACATATAATACAAACTTTAGATCCTTATTTGCACATCTTGAAATCTTAGGTTTTTTTATGCATCTACCTCAAATCACAAGTATATTATATGTATATTTTAAAATCTCAAGTCTTTTTTTGCACCAACCCTAAATTACAAGTAGTTAAATTATAATTTTCTCAATATTCAATTATATGAAGATAGTGCATTTTAAAATCTTGATTCTTAAAAAAAAATTAAAATCCTAACTTATATTTAAAATTTAAATTTTAAATTTAAATTTTAGAAATCCATTTTATAAGATATTAATACCTAGATTTAGAAACTAATTATATATTCTAATCTGATTAATTTCAAATCTCAATATCA